CGACGCAGTACACACACACACACACACACACACACACACACACTCAGTCAGTCAGTCAGTCAGTCACTCACTCACTCACTCACTCAGTCACTCACTCGTTAAAGAACGAATGTGAGAAATTAGAGAATTCAGCTTTTTGTTAACAGGCAATTTGCTTGTGCAAGTGTTTTTTTTCATGCCAATTTTGCAGGGAAACTGATTTGCTTATCTTTAGATTTGCTTGAAATTTAGTGCTAATAACTAAACTTGAGCACAAACATGGAAATTTGTGCACCCCAGCGTAAACTTTGTGCTGGTCCTAATCAGGTCCTCCTCTTGCTATATTTTACATTTACATTTAGTCATTTAGCAGACGCTTTTATCCAAAGTGACTTACAAATGAGGACAATGGAAGCAATCAAAATCAACAAAAGAGCAATGATATACAAGTGCTATATCAAGTCTCAGTTAGCTTAGCAAGGGTTTAAAAAAAAAAAAAAAAACGACACTTATGAAATCTTATTTTATGGTACAGTTACAAATATGACAGACGTAAAAGACATGAGTCTGTGTAAAACTTGCAGCTACAATGCTAAGATACTGTGGTGGTTGTCATGTTGTTGCTATGTGATTGCTAAGGTGTTCTGTGTATGTTTTTTGCATGTTTTATGTTCCACCAGGCAAAAATTGTGAAAGTATGATGGATTAGAAAAGCAATAGCACACCTTTTCTCAAAAATGACTAGCAAGCATTTATCTGTCTTGAAGACCACTTGGAGACTACTCTATGTAACATGGTTGCATTGCATTGATGTTCCAGGAACATCAGTCCTAATCAGGTTTTGTGATGTCTTTTGTACTCAAGGTTATGTGAAGTGCTTAATTTGGACCCCAGGCATGTCCTGATTGCTGAGGTAATCTTCACCAACATCGGAGGAGCTGCCACTGCTGTTGGAGATCCTCCCAATGTTATCATCGTATCCAACCAGGATCTGCGTAAAAAAGTATGTAATTATTTTCCACCGTTCTTGCTGGGTCATTTATGGGTGAACGGATATTGTACTGCTGTCTTGTGCCTGTTAAGAGTGTCTCGGGGAACTTATTGGGCAAATTATACATGACTGCACAAATAAACAAAAACGCACAGACACAAGCATGTGACCAAGCATTTTTCTGGCATAGAATGATAGCCTTGTGCCAAAACACGCTGTCACTATCTACTCAAGGCTAAAACACTGTGGCATCCTGTCTTACACCTCAGACTATTAATTATGTAGGAATACTTCTTGCCAGCTTTAGTCACACTCTGCCAAATTCTCTCTCTCTGTCTCTATCTATCTCTCTCTCTTTCTTTCAGCAGAGTTGACATTTTTTAACTTCAGTAAAAGCTAAAGCTGTAACAGTCATTATGTCCAAACTCGGAGACCAACCATTTTTATCTAAGAGCATGCATGATGTTTGGTTGCAAGACTTGTTATCTCACCTGTTTTCACACTGTATGCAAAAACAGTCATGCATTTAGCCATTTTTACATATCATATTAGCACATTAATTACCATTTGAGTGTAAATACTAAATATCCAATTATTTTTAGAGTAAATTATAAATATATATATAAAAAAACATTCAATAGTAACCAGAAATAGCTTTTTAATGCTGTTCCTTCATAATAAAAATATTATTGCATTATCTATAGAAATTTAGGGAAAAATATAATGCTATATTAGTCAAATTCATCTTTACCTTTGTTTATTTTGGTTTTTCTTTTTTTTTGGCAAATGAATCATGCTCAAAATACAAGAGTTTACTGTACAAAAGTGACCAAAAATCTGCATTTCTTGCAGACTGGGGTGTCTTTTTTCCGGAATCCAAAAAACTCCCACACTGGCAAGCTAACTTTTTTCGGGTGCGGGTAGATTGTCTAATTTTTGTCAGTCTTCTCTGACATGATTTTGTGTGGCAGTAGTAGCTACACACTGTGTTCTTGTCTTTTTTCCCCATTTTATGACAGGTGGCAACTAGTGTTAAGGTGCAATACCGCCACCTACTCAACAATTTACTGGCACTGGATTATTTACAACATTATTTTATGTGTGCTATTAACATGATATCAATATTTCATTTTTAAATGGTTATCGTCAATACCAGTATACTGCAACACCCCAACTTGAGCATGCGTTGTGAAACAGGTCTTATTGTATGTTACTTGATGCTGTTGAAGGTACAACGAAGCAATACCTGATGAATGCAAGTGATCACAAAACAGGTCTGCAACATCGGCATGTACTTTCCTAACGTAATCACAGAACAGTATCACAAGAACTTTCTTTTTTCGTTGTAGTATATGAGTATATGAACTCTTTCCGTCAAACCCTTACTTGCAGGAAAACACAATTTAAAGTTCCATCCTGCCAATTGGACAAGGTCACGGGCAGGCTGAATAATCTCCAGGTTTATGATGTGACCTCAAATCAGAGAGTCTTGTGTGGATCTGTCTTCATTGAGACTTGTGTAATATTGGTTTGATTGAAAAGGTGAGGGGACATTTTGTGATTTATTATTCACTTTAATGGAGGATACGGAACAGGGTGAACCAGGTTTGTGGTTGTGAATGAAATGTTCATGTTCACATTCAGACAGAGATCAATGCATGGCTTCGTTGGTGGTGTGGTTGAAATCACAGAATATGTCAATTTATTCTGTCTGTTTTTTTTTTTTTTACTGTATTTGAGTATTTGCCAGTTTGTCTTTTTGTAGTCAGGTGTGTTATTTTATTGCTCTTATTTAGGATTATGGGTTTGAATGCAGTTTGAACGGCTAACCCTTTGAGTGTATTTCATAACACAACTCAAGTATGCATTGCGTTCTCGGCATTGCCACAAGCTGCCATTAGCATGTCTGCTTCTGCAGCTAGTTTTCTCTTTTAGATCAGAGGAGGGACAGTTTGAAGCGAATGATGCTGAGCAAGTTAGATCTCATAAGTATGTTTACCTGAATAATAACAAATCAGATTCAGTAGCAAAGACATTTGAAGCTAGCTCTATCATCCCATGAGATTTATTATTGTCTCCATAGTGCAAGAACACACATTTATGTTCAGCGGGACTGTGCATTCAGTAGCCGAGCATTTGCATAAACTATACTTCTGGTCTAAATCATGCAGCTTGTTGAGATGTGCTATTACCTGGTGATTTACAATAAAACAGAAAAAGAAAATCCCTTAGATCTGCATTAAAATTAGGACTAGACTGAGGAAATAGAATATCATACAGACTTGTGCTTCATCCGAAAATGCATACTTCCATACTATATAGTAGGCAGTGATGGATAGATTTCTTACAAATTGTAGTCCATCCATGTACCACTTTTGATACGTACTCACTACAACAGCACTTGAGCAACCCACAAGGCATGCTGTTTCTGAGATCAAAGTTCTGAGGTACCATGCCATCACAAATTGTCCTTTATCAAACTCTGATAAATCGGCAACTTTTCCCATTCTGACACAGAACACTATACTGCTCTGTGAATATATATATATATATATATATATATATATTGTCTCGATGCTAAAATAAACCTGTGTTAAAAACTATTTATATGTAAGAAATAGTAATAATTGCTTATATATATATATATATATAATTAAATGCACTAAACATTACATTACACCAGGGTTCCCAAACTGGGCTTAATGTAAGAAGTGCAGTGGGTTTTTGAGTTTAAACACTTGAACACTAAAAATAGAAATATTTTATTTGTTTACCTGCATGTCAATGTGACCATTAACCGACATCAGAGAACTGTTTGGGAATCTATGCGTTTCATGAACAAATATAATAAACAACAATGACATTACATGCCCAAAGTCTTCCTGGTTTGAAATATTTTTGTCCAAACCTTCAGAATCAACAGTTACTGAAAGTTATTGGATATGATGGCGACATAGTGTTTCACAGCTATACATCACCAGTGTTTAGTAACTTGCATAATTATTTGTTTCATATATGGTCTAATTGCTTGAGAGTTTTTTCCCCTCAAATTCAAAAGCATGGTGTGCAAATTTATTTACGTGCCATTTGTGAATATAGTCAAAGCTAAATGGTATGACACGCAGTAGGATTTTTAGAAAGGAAAAATTAAGAGAGAAAAAAGAAGAATTAGGGAGAATCAGTAAATTATGAATAATTTACTGCCATTGTGTGAATAGTATGTAAACATGTAATTCATACAAAAGTATAAAAGTAAACCAATTATGAGCATTCAAACCAAAAACATTCTAGTAACCACCTTGATTCCTAGTAACCGCTTAGGAATGCACTAAAAACATCTTAGCACGGCAAAGCAACAGCTTAGCAACCACATGTGATGGCAAGTTCTCCTCCCAAAAAAGCATGTGTGCTAGTGTATTTGTTAGTGTGTATATGGTCAAAGTGTGTGTCAGTATGTGTAAGAGTCCAGCTAAAGCCCTGAATGAGACACAGAGGACGAGATTCAATCTCCAACTCCGGATGCTGATTAAAGATGCTCTCTTTGGAGCCACTCTACCCTGCAGCTCTTTCAGTCACACACTACCACAGACACAATGACTAAGACAAACAGACGTATGTGTGTGTGAGTATCAGTGCAAAAAAGAAAGGGAGCGGAAAAAGGGTGGCTATAAAAGTATAGGAGATCCATCTTTTTCTGACAGTCTATTTAAAAGGCTACACGCCAAAAGAACAACTATATGCTTAAAACCCTCAATCTATTTGGAGCCATACATTTTTATGTCATATAAACATCTTGTCAGCGAAACTGATTTCCAGCACCATTACACTTTCTGACAGAGATGGATGAATTGGTGTGTGACGCACATTAAATTAGCTGTTTTAATCAAGTGCTGCTACGTGTTTTAAGAGTGTTTTAAAGAGAGAATCTCAAGGTTGGCTTGAAGGGTCATGCAAAGGTAAAGAGAGGAGTTTTCAAATATGTAATATTTGTATTACTATTATTTTTTATTATGGGTGCGAATATAGGAATAAGGAATAGGAATAGGTCTAAACACTCCCCCAGGAGTCAAAGCAAAAGATTATTAGTTAGTTAGGGCTCATTTTCATCTGAATCAAAAAATCTGCAAGTGTTGACCTAATCTTTTTCTTTTAACATTAGCGCATACATTTTAAGTCAATATGAAATGTTGTTAAAATGAATAATCGTGACAAATTAGTTAGAAAACACCTTTTGAAAAGGAAACCTTAGAACTTTTAAGCCATAATGAAAAAAAAAATGCTCCAAACAAACTAAAAAATTTTCATTTTTAGTCCCTGCATTTTCAGCCACGTCAAAACGCAACTGGCTTGGCATTTCAGTGTTGTCTTCTGATATTTCCTAATTTAATAATATAAAATTATTTGTGAAATTAGTAAGCAGTAAGCTGGCCATTTTCAATGGTCTTAGTACTCTTTATATTTCACAAAGATTTGGGGAAATCTGGGATGTGAAAGATACAACATTTGTAACAACTGAATTTTCACAAACATCTATTATTGTAGAACATCTATAGGTAATAGTTAAGTAACTGTATTCACAGTGCATTCATGTTTGTTAATAAACTAATGTTAACTAATGAAAATCAAATGTTAAGAATGTATTATGAATGTATGCAGAAATTGACATTATTCTAGGTTAACAAATGCTGTAAATGTATTGCTCATTCATTTAAGCTGTTATACCTAAAACATTTAACTGAACCTTATTGTAAAGTCTTACTGTATTCTTTATAAGAAAGGTCATTAAACCCATTAAAACCCATCAACGAGGGCAACTTAAATATTTCATGAGAAGTTCAATAGTTGCCATCACAGTTTTAATTTAGTTATTCCTCAAACTCTTCCATCGGCGACAGAAAGGTGCCTGGTTTAAATGGTTGTTTCTTCAGCTGGCTTTCAGAGCTGAAATCACTGTGGGGATTGAGTTCATTTGTGGCTCAGTAGAAACATCGTCCTTGCCTGTCAAACCGGCT